ATTTTACTTAGTGGTGGTATAGTGCCATTGTCCAATGTGAGAGAATAAATAACTTTGGTTTCTTTTATTTAAAAGAAGCAAAGCTATGGCTTTTGGATTTCACTGGTTATGCCCACATCAATCTTCTCATCCACACCAAAAGGTTTGGAGAGCAACAAACAGGCAAAACTTCAGGTGGTGGGCAATGTTGAGTCTAGTTAGGGAAACTTATTTGCTGTGTACGTGATTTACAGAATGATCTGCAGTTAGGAGCAGAGGAGTGGCAATGTAAGAACCTTTTATTTCAAACAATTATATTTGGGTTGTGTAGTGTCAAACCTACGTGTCTTTTACCATTCTGGTTCTGAATACTTAAGTGTAGGGTCTTTTTACTATCCTGAAGCTGTTGTTGCAGTTGATTCATATCCATCTTGGCATTTTACCAGCCAGGTAAGGCAATGAAAGGAGTTGGTTTGTTTCATATGTTCAGGTAGTTCAGGATGCACTGAGTGCAGTGGGAAGCTTCTGCAGTGTAATTATGTTGGAATGGTTTCCTTGGTCTGTGACCAGCTTTCTGGCATTCCTGTGGTAATTTGATGCTAGTGGCCTTAATCCCAGCCGTGGCTGTGTGTTGTGTTCCCTTTGTCACTAGTCTCCAAACCCGGTCAAAATACTTGGACCCTCAAACCTTGAACACATTCAATGGGCAATCCCATTTCCCTCTTTGAAGAGAAAACATGGCAATTATCAAACCTTGGTAAAATTCACCAGGTGACTGCACAAGGTGGAATGCTTAGTTTAACCCTTTCTTAGTAGAAGGCTAATGAGTTTTAAGGTTAAGGGCTTGTTGTACAATGTGCCTTTTATGGATTGTGTTGTCTTTAAACTGTCTTTTCTAGTGGCAGCCTCTCAAGTGGCTTTTTAGAGTCATATTACCAAAGATGCTCTGCTTAATCAGCTTGCATAAAAACCCAGGTTAGCTCTCCACAGTGTGAAGGATCGGTGAGCTTACACTCAAGTTTCAGTGCTGCTTGACTTAACAATGTTTGGTCTTGTAATAAAAAGCTTAAAAGCTTGTCAGGTATTTACAGAGATGTCATGAGTCCCTCTTGCAAAGGTGTGAAGCATGCTGTGAGAAAGTGTCCCAGAGATTTTGGGAGGAGTGGTGGCACTCATAAACTCTTGTGCATGTGTATAGACTAAAGTAATTCAAAAGCAATTTAGCGAAATCTTTATTTGAATCCATACTAGAGAACTTAAGTATGCTAATGAAATGTTTCGGGCTGATAACTTTTGTGAGATTTTAACATTTTTAACAATAACATGCTTATTGTTTCAAACCCTTTTGTTAGGTGGTATTTTCCTTCAAGGTCAGTTGACACAGCAGATCTGGCCTGCAGAAAGCCGCAGCCTGATGTAACATTTTCAGATGCTCAGTCAGTCTATATGTTTTGTAGTGGGATATAAGTGAAATCTCTTATGCTTGTGTGCTTTTCTGTAGTTTCTTCTAGTATATCTGCAACAGCAAATATGTCTTGGCTCTAGGTGTAAAACAGCATGAAACTAATGGGCATGTTTCTAGCTATCTTCACGGGAGCTCAATTTCAAATGCAGGAGGTAAATGTGGAGAAGACAGGTGATTGTGCTGACTTTGATTGCCAGGGCTAACCTCAGTGAAAATGACTGATTTATTGCCTTTCAGGGTAAAATGCTCGTTACTTGCACTAAAGTGGTGGCTTGTCAGTGTCAGGAGTTCTCTAAGTCTTATGGTTTAAAGCAGATAATGTCAGGCATCAATTCTGAGCTGCTAGAGAACCAGGCATACCGAATGGGCTAACAAAAATGCATTACTGAAAGAATGGATTGCCAAAAACTAAGGCTTGATGATGTTGTCTCCACTGCAGATATCTCAGTATGCTAATTGTTGGTGAAACATCATTATTTTCTGAAGAATATTCATTGGCATTTAAACATGTCAGATGCATTTTTGGTACAGACATAGTTTCATTTGCAAGGTGCCAATCCCATGTAGTCTCATTGAAGATGCTTTAAGAGTAATACGCATAATATGGCTCTTACATCAACCAGCACTGTTGACACATTAAAAAATATCAGAATCCAGTGCTTCAGGGAGCTACTTTGGTGGCTAAATGGTGAGTCTGGCTGCAGCAAGCAGAGGAGTTATGTGAACACTGCACAGAGCTTCTGAAAAGATGACTCAATCCAACACGATGATTTCTTGGCAGTTTTGTGTTTGCAGAGGGTACTGTTGGTACTGAGGTGGCTACTTGTAACACTGTACGTTCTGGCAGTTGTGCCTTTCAGATCCTTCTTTAAACTAAGTTCTTACAGGTTTTCTCTCTTCATTTTCTTCTGGCAGTAAGAATGCTTTTGCTGTTAGCCTTGCCATGTGTTGAGGACCTTCAAAAATTGTCTGTTTGATCCATTTTGATGTTCTGAGGTTTATCAATGCCCCACGCTGGAAAATGAGTTTCACTGCTACTGAAGAGAGATGTTCTAACATAGTTCTTTCTCCAAAACAGATCTATTTGATCCTGAATTTAATTTGTGTTTCAGACATCACCAGTCAATTTATAGTCATGCTAGCGATAGAATGTTTTCGGTTCAGGTTGCCAGAGTTTACCTTCAGTCTCATGTGTAATGCAGAGTGCCAGTAGACCAGAATGTAAGTCTTGAAAATTTGTGAAGGGAGAGGGAGCACTTCTCAATATTATGCATAATTTTTACCTTTGGAATTTTGTGCAGCACATTCTTACAGCAAGAAGAATTAAATTTTACTTCACAATTTTCCTTGTGAATAATAAGGGTAGAATAGTGAAATTTTCAACCAAAGGCACAGATAGCTTAATAGTGGGTCTAGGGGTTTTGTTAATTCTGCACAGCTTTGTTTATGTTGAATTGTAGTAGGAAGCTGAAAAGGTAATAATTGGGGGAATAAGCCTGAAAATTATTTTCTGTGGTTTAGGATGCTTTTACCAAATATGATACATCAATCTTTTACTGCAGTGAATAGATAGTGTCCAGGCTTTGTGAGAGTCAGCATTACCTGACTTCATGTCACTGGCTATCCATCTGGTGTCTTTGCCAGCCCAGTTGATTTGACTGTTTTTTGGAAAGAAGGAAGTTAGGGTATCTCACAAATGAGTTACATCACTGAGGATTTAAAAATGATGGGGTTTTTTTCTGGTGAAATGAATGGATAAGGACCTACCCTGCATGAAGTTCCAGAGGATATAGGATGTTGTGCTTCATTAGATTTTGAATCCTAATTCTGGACTTATTTAAGAACTGAGAGAAGGAATCAAGGCCATCTTTGATAAACTTTAGTTACTTTTTTATTATGCCTATGAGAAAACGTGTGTTTTCTGATATTCTCTCTCTGAGTGATTCAAAACTTGCTAGGTGTCAGAGCTCTTATGTGAAACATAAGAGATGTGTTGTTTTATCATCAGTCAGGTTTTAATGTAGAAATTGAGCAGCGCAGCTTTATAGAACCTACATTATAGATAAGCCAGATTTTGACAGAAATAGATTAATTTCCTGTCTGCTTGAATGTGGTGACTTCACTGTTTGGAGCAGACTCTATTGAGTCCACCTTGTGTCTAGCACTTCCAAGCTTTTTTTTTTTTTTTTGTTTCCTACTCTTCAGTTTATCTTGACTGTAAGCAAAGTGCATTTTTACATTTAACAGATGTTTTTTTCCCCAGTCAATCCAAAACTCCCAACTTGTTAGATATATCTGTTCAGAGACTGGAAAGAATTCTGTACTTCAAGGAGCAGTTCTTCAGAGGAGTCTTTCTGTAGTGCAAAATTTATTCTTGAAAGCATTTCCCTAGAGTGAAAGCATATTAACATTGAATGTTCTCTTTATATGTGAGGGTGGTGTTCTGCATTTTTGAGAGGACAGACTAGAAAGTAACAAAATCAAATCATATTTTCTTGCATAAATTATAAGAAATCCTGGATTGTCGTTACCACGCTGCTGCTTTCCTTGACAGAGTAGAAAAAACTTGTCTTTCAAGAGAAACCTCTTTTTAAAATCAGAGTGTACGTATTGAGATTATGTGGTGGTAATGGTATTCTGGTGTTAACCAAAAGTAGAAATGTTACAGTAAGAGTTTCAGCTCCAGTAAACTTGAAGAATAATGAAAATTAGATGAAGTATAAATAAAAATACCCAGGTAGGAGCACTTAGAAAACGTGGAATAGATTTTGAGAAGCAGCTTGTAAATTGGAAGCTTGTAGTCTAGTGCACATTAAGAGAGGTGGGTTAAGATGTTTAAGGTGCTGAGAGAAGAGATACACCACAGGAACTTCAAGGTGGTTTTTGAAAACACTTTTGTGCTCTTACAGCTGCTGGCACATGAGTGTTTTAACAATTCAGAGGTGGGGAAGGGGAGTATCAGAGTGATACAGGGACATGGACGAGGGAATTGACTGTTCAGTTTGCTTAAATGTGAGAATGAGGAGTGGTTGTGTAAGACTGAGTGAAATTCAGACTGAAAGGGAAGAGGTTCTTCACATGAATGATTGTGGATCTGTGAAGTGCCTCATCAGAAGATTTCATGAGTGTAAGAAATTTAAGCAGGGTTAGAAGAAAGCTGAAGTACTTGGAAGAAATCCATGAAGGCTGCCAAACAAGAATCATTAACGGCTCAGGAAAACACCTGAAAATAGTTTGGGGATGAAGAACTTTGGAATATCTTGGGATTTTTTCTGTTTTTTGAGATGGCACTAAATGGAGATTGTGTGATACTATGAAGGAAGAGGAACTTGAACAAAGAGAGCAGAAAGGAGAGAAAACCCAATGAGTGACTAAAGTCTTTCACATGAAAATACTGAAAATGTGAAATGGTGTAAGCAGTAATGAAAATGGGAAAAAAACATCTGATTTCAGGATGTGGTGGAGTGGGTGTTTGTATTCAATATAAGCCTGGATATGTAGGTATTAGTTGAAGGAAATAAAATTTCTAATTATTTTTAATTTTTCTTTTTATTAGCAAAACCGAATAGGAAGCTGACATTCCTGTACTTGGCCAATGATGTCATACAGAACAGTAAAAGGAAAGGACCAGAATTTACAAAAGACTTTGCTCCTGTAATAGTGGAGGCTTTTAAGCATGTTTCAAGGTACAGTAAACTTGTATGTGCAGTGTCCTTCACACTGCATTTGAGAAGTGGTCAGTCGATGTCTTCTGGTCCATCTAGTCTTTATGTGCTATTCCTGTACTTGAAATCTTAGTTTCATTTATTCAGCGTTCTTGTGATCTTAGATAGTCTTACTACAGCTTGATGAGTTTGATAGTAAATTCATCAGCATTCAGTTCCTTTTTGCCTTGGAAGACAGCCTTTCAAGAAGGAAGAAACTGAAACTTGCGTACTGTCTGTGTTTATGTGCTACAACAGTTTGGCATTTCATTACTGGTTGTTGCATGATTTGCCCTTTCTCCAGCAGCCTCTAACGTCATTGCTAGAGTCCTGATGCAGGATTATCTTCACAATGATACACAGCTGTTGAAGCAACATTAACCTGTTTGTAGTGTTTGCAGATTTATGGGTTAAAAAACCAAAAGAGTTTGATATAGGCCCTTTTGTTTTTCAGGTGCTTGCTAGAGCACATTAAACTGGTCTTTGCTTTCTTTAAAATGGGGATTTGTTATTTTCTGAGGTTATTTGACTTCTGATGGTTGGATATTGCTAAGATCTGTGAAGGTCTTTCTGTGAAAAAAAATCATAAAGCGGTGCTATACTTCTAACTAGTGCTAATATTTGCTTTTCTCCTTCTAACAGTGAGTCTGATGAGAGTTGTAAGAAACACCTTGGCCGAGTGCTGTCTATCTGGGAAGAAAGGTCTGTTTATGAAAATGATGTATTAGAACAACTTAGGCAAGCTTTGTGTAAGTATTTTGTGAGTGTATGAAGGTTCTGTCTCCTGTTTCAAATAGTACTTCTTTGACTGCTGTGTTTGTTTTCATTTAGATGGAGACAGAAAGGTGAGGAAGCGCACATATGAACAGATCAAAGTTGATGAAAATAACTGCTCACCTCGAAGTTCTCCCACTGATCCTCCTCAGGTAACAGCATGTTTATTAAATTCTCTACTTCCATATGGTTTTATATAGAATTTTTTGTTTTCTATTTTTTTGAATGGTCTCTTTTTCAGTGAGGAACTGTTTCTGGGCAAGGGTGGCTACACCTCAAACTTTTAATAGTTTTTTAGCGGGGCATGCTGTAACTTTGTGTTTGGCAGTAACCTCAGATGTATGAGCTCTATGTCCAGCTTTGTTCATGTCAGTATTTCAGCAGTTTGTACAATGTATTGAGTTCTCATTCAGTTTTTAGGGTAGTAGTAACACATGTATTAGAGTGTAAGATTGTTACGATTTATGAATAAAATATTTCCCAAAGTTTTGCTCACAATGGCTGTGAGAAATTCTTGTTTTACCTTGCACTGTTACAGGTCTTCTAATTCTTGTGGGGTTTTGTTGCAGTATTGCCCAATCTTGAAAGGATTTTTGTTATAGCAAAGAACGACTGTGCTCAAGTCATCACAATTTAGTATGTTTCTCTGTAGCAGATAGCTGGGCTTCTGTGAGCATCAGCCCTACTTCCAGAAGAAGTGCACTGATACAGTCTTTTGCAGTAGTGAAGCAAAGCAACAAGAAAAGTACTTTTTAAAAATGTGTAATAAAATGAAAGGTACTGTAAAATAATCACTACTGTCAAGAAGAAAAGGTTTATAAGTATTCCTATACAAAGAATTTAAATGAAAAAGCTCTTGTAGAAAGGTGACCTTTAAAACTAGCAATGATGTGCTGAGACTAAAGGTTTTGTTTTGTTCGACTCTAAAAGTGATACTGTAAATGCTGCTAAAATTATCATCAAATCAAGAAGCTTGTTGTAAATACTTCTGTTTTGTTGTAGGATCTGTTTATTTAAACTAGTTCTCAATCTTGCATGCTTTTTTCAGACCACAGATCTCATTAGAGCATTACAAGAACTAGAAAATGCTGCCTCTGGGGATGCAGCAGTTCACCAGAGAATAGCTTCCTTGCCTGTAGAGGTCCAGGATGTGTCCTTGTTAGACAGAATAACAGGTGAGGGTTGGGAGCCTGGTAACCAAAATGCTCTTCTAAGAACGTAATGGTGCATAATGGAATCACACTTTACCTGTTTTTCTCTGCTTGCTTTTTAGATAAGGAATCTGGAGAGCAACTTTCCAAAATGGTAGATGATGCATGTATGTTGCTGGCGGATTACAATGGCAGGTTGGCAGCTGAAATAGATGATAGAAAACAGCTAACTCGAATGTTATCAGACTTTCTCCGATGTCAAAAAGAGTTCCTTGCAGAGAAAGAACATAAGCTGGAAGTGCGTAATATTTTGTTTTAGTCTCTTCTTCACTAAAGCTTGTTCTTGCAAATGTTTCTAGTTAGCCTGAACAACTTTTCTCTCCAAAGACAAATATTTTTTTGCCACTGTTATGTCTTTGCTTCCAGCACATTAGTAACACATTGTTTGATTCTAGTGTTCTAAGCCTACTAAACCAGCTCTTTCTGCTTTTCAGTCTTGGTTATACCTACAAACTTAGTAGTGCAGATGGAAAGTCTTATCCCTGCTGTTACAAACTTAATTCTTCATAGTGTCATTTTCTTTCCATGCTCTTTTCATTCGTTGTTGTAAGTCTTAGTTATGTATTTGCTAAAGGATAAGAATTTAATTCCAGGTTTCAGCACAAGTTTTTAACCTGCCTCAAGCATCCATTAAACCCAGGGAAATGTACTTACAGTTTCTACAGCCTCTAACACAGCTGGTTATCAGCACTAGCACCAGCACAACCAGGCAGATCATAATAAAAGAGTGATGCAGGGTGAGCAGCTCATTATTAGCAAATGATCCCTTAAGTTACTCCTTTCTTTGCTATTACCAATCACCTGCTTTTCTCTCCTACCATGTACTACTGTAAAGCCTCCCGTGGAACATTCCACATATTTAGAATACGTCCATAATTTCATATCAGTGGCTTCCCAGTGCTAACCTTGGGTATTACAGTAATAGAATTGAAGCTGCATCATTTTGCAAGGGAAGATGTCTGAACAATCATGATGCCCTGTAACTGCAGCATATGCATAAATGGTCCCAGCATTAATTTATCTTCAGGTTTCATCATATATGCCTGTCAAGAGCATTTTCTTTCCCTAGTGGTTTCTTTACCTTTAGCTTCATAACTTTGATTCAGATTTTGTTGTGCTTTTTTTTCTGGAAAATGCTGTTTGTAATGTATTTGAAGTCATCATTCAGATCAGTTGTGTCATTCCTAGCCTACTCTTATTTCCTGACTTCCTTTCCTCTATGCCTCACAGAAAATCAATTGATGAAGGTTCTTCCTATCAACCTTACTGTGTTTATCCTGTGGGAAGAATATCAACCAGCTTCATGTAAGATAGATGGCATGCACAGTAGTGCTGATCTCAGTAGCAACTGATCCAACTGCATAATGGAACCTGGAAGATTAAAGAACAGGAAGCCTTAAGCTTTTCATCATATGCCCTACCTTCCCTCTGCCTGTGTAATGGGTTTGAAGGACAAGTTCCCATAATTTCATTGAAGGACTGGTTGTCTAGAGGCACTGACTTGTTCATGTAGCTCATTACCAGCAGTTATATGCTGTGTAGGTATGGTGGCCTGCCAGGATAGGGAGTTGCTCAAAAGGCAGTGACTTAGTCTTCAGACAGATTTACCCTTCTGTAAAACAAGAGAGCCAGTTGAAAAGAAATTAAAAATAGTAGCATAGCTGTGAACAGATTCCACCCTTATTGGTTGTTTTCAACAAATAGAAACCAGTGTAATTTACCAATATTGCTAGATCAGAGAATTCATAATTCTGAGAGAAAGCAATTGCATATTACTGGGCTGTTATGGTGCTTCACATAGTTTCTTGGCTGAATTATTTAGACTGCTAAAGAATTTAATTCTAACATTACAGAGTTTCATCTTTGGGCTGGTTTGAGGTCTTTCTTTAAAAGTAGGAGACAGTCTCAGTGTCTGTAGCAGCTTGTTTTAAACTGATGAAGTCCTAGGATGTTAAAGTACACTGTAAGAATGTTTTTAGGCTGATTAGTGTGGCATAAATATGATTTCCTAATACAGAACTATGAGCCAGAATGGTGTTAATCCAGTTACTAGTAAAGGCCTTTGAGCCAAGAGATTTCAAAAAACAGGAACCTTAAAATGGAGTTTCTAAACTAGTGATGAGTTAAATGACTTCATGCTCACTATCAGTAGTGCTTTTTTGTTTGGAAAGTAGAGGCTGATAAACATTCTCAAGTTTTGAAATGTAAGATTAGGATGTCTTAGTGATATTGTCTGTAGGGCTTGCTGACTTAGCACATGTAGGATTTATTTTGGTGATTAAGAAATGGAGATGAAGTGAGGACTCCCTGTTCTTACAGATTTGGGAAATTACATGACTCAAATTGAACCTTGCTTCTTGGCTTCTCATTTGAAATAGAACTGGGAGAGGGCCTTCCACGTAATTCTTTGAGAATGTGTTTCCCTGAACTGTCTGTCCCTAGGTTTTGCTGTTCAAGTTTCATTTCTGGTGAAATTAATTTGTTCCAGACAAGCTTGTTTCTTGTGTTAGACTTCTGGCTATTGATACTTTCCCAAGTATAACACGATCTCTCAGTTGTAACAGAAAGTCTTTATTTCTTCCTGAATTACTGTCACCAATCTGTGAGTATAATGCTGAGATCCTACCTTACTGATTCCTTACCATACCAAACAGGTATAGTAAGGAACAAGTGGATGTATTCTTAGTTGAATCTAGAAATGTTACCTGTTGTTAACCTTGTTTAACAATTTGAATTGGAATTCCCAAAGAATTGTCAGTGGCTTTCAGCATTAGATAAAAGCTTTAGACCTAAATAGGCAGATGTTTTATCTTCTGAAGATAATTTACAGGTAAGTAATTTTGCATAACCAATCTTTCCATATGCCTTAATTTTTTAAGAATGAGAGTCTCTCTAATAGTTATTTCTGAAACAGAAGTGTGTGATTCCCATCAAAATCGAGGTAATGTATGTGCTAAATCTTGACAGGAAATTTTGATAACAAGTAAATAATGTTATGTCTGCATCAAAAGCTAGCTGTACTGCTTGGTAGGTGACTTTCCTAAGTATGTTTGGGGTAAGTAGTGTCATTTTTAACTCTTAAATTGTTTTCTTTAACATCTGTCTAGCTTCTGTTGCAGGTGGTGGACATGGACCTATCTTCTAATGATGTCACCATCCATTAGTAAACACATCCTGCTAAAAATAAATTTAAGAATCAAAATCTTGTATTGTCTGTTGTTTTTGAAAACTTGAAAAGGAAGAATTCTGTAACTACTCATATCAAATCTCTGCTATTTTCATCTATATTCTCACAAGCATTACTGAGTTTATGCCTGAGATGGATAAGTATTTATCCAGTGTCATCTCTTTTTCCTGAAGACTAAAATTTTCACATGGTTGTTCTTAAAACTATCACATTCTTTCAGTGAACTAATTCAAAATTCCCAATATAGAAGTTGGGGGGTTGCTTGCATTGAAGCTGCCATTTCCAGAAGGAAAAAGCTGTGAAAACAAGACTTTATCAGCCTTTTGCTTTTTAACTTACACTGCTGGGTTTACATGATCAGAAATGGGAAGTGATGAATGTAGGACTTTTCCTTTACAAGCACAATAGAAAAACTTTCACTTTATTAGGTAACAGAGAAAATGTGCTTTATAATTGCACTTAGCCCCCTTTAGAACCCCTCTCAAATTTAGGATTGTGCTAAGGAGTCTTCACTTTTGGTAGTTTTAAAGCAGTATAAATATTCAAGGTTCAGTGTGCTGTGGCTCCATCTAGGATTTCTGGCTAGGTAGGATTCTATGTACTAGAGAAAATGGAAATTTTTACAGGATACTTTTGTAGAACTTTTTTCTGAAGCCTTTGATGACTAATACCATGCCTGTTTTCTACCACTTCAGATGACTTTTTACCTCTTTCCGTCCGTGTTGTACCTCCCTCCTGTCTCCCTGCCTGTCCCTTAGTTTTTGAACAAAAATACTGGTTCATCTCTTGGTATGACTGAAGGATAAAATGAGATTTTTATATTGCACAGGAACAAGAAATTGGGTGCATAAATTGATATCCAGATTTGGGTATCAATTTGGCTCATGTCCCTTTGATAAGACTGTCTTGTTACTCTAGAATTAAAATTGCCTTCAAAGTGACATGAACAAGAGAAGTACTTGATTTATTGTTCTCTCATGTTTCTTTGTGTTTACCTCTCCCTCCCACAGTCTCCTGGATTATGGTGTTTAGTCTCTTATTAAGTTTCAAATAGAAGGTTTGATAATGGACATCTTATGTGACTCAAACAGGTGTGAGTAGGGGATCACAAGACACCACCTCACCTTCATTTTGGCCTTAGGAAAAGATGTAGTATTGCTGCACTTAGCGTGTAGTGGGTATATAGTTTCTTGCATACTTCTATCAGTTTACCACTTTAAATTTGGGAATATCTTGTCACTAGATTCAAAGTTTTGTGAGGGAAGTGCTACTCTGGGAAGCTTGCTGTCATTTAGCAGCTTGCATTTAATTAAAACAGTTAATGCTGCTATCTTGCATTTCTGATTTTCTACAACTCTGTAAGCAGTATTCATATTCTTACACTCACACATCTGGTTTTAATTGTAGTTTCTTAGCGTGTTGAGAGAATATGTCATGTTCAGTGCACATTTATTTCATGATTGAGCTTTTATGGCTCCATATAACTTGACTTATCTTCCTGAAGGTTTTAATTTTGTCTTGGAATTTTACAGATAAACAGCAAGCAGTTAGTCAGCCTTGACTTTTGCTCTGGATTTGAAATACTTTTTTTTCCTGCTCAGTTCACACTTAATGGTTTCAAATGTAGACAAAAATATTAAGCAAACAGTTTAGGGCTGGCAGTGGTATAACAGGCCTCTTATCCTTAAGTTTTGTTTTGCAATACCAAACTGGGTTGGTGCTGTTGTCTACTGTTGCCCTTCACCATAGCCTTCATGATATCACAGTAGTGTTTTCCTTGCTGGCTTTTTTTTTTCCTTTAAACCCCTTATTCATCCTTAGTATGTTAGTATGTCAGGTTCACTCTGCTCAGTGACAGAGTACTTGGAGTAATATATTCCATTATACTTAGTATTTTTCAAGTCCACTATTGGTAATTTGGATTCATTTTTCATAACCTTGCAGCGGAGCACCTAACTTATTTTACTGAGTTTTGGTTGAAGATTTGTAGGATGAACCCTATATTGCCTTTTGTTACGGGGTGGAGTTTGCAGCATTGAAGGTGATTTACA